CACGCTCTATGATCACAAACAAAACTCACATCAGGGAGTCACAGCTTTATAACCATTATATCCGGTATGGCAGAAATAGCAGTTATACAATATTCTCACTGAATTTGGTATACCAAAGAAGCTGGTGAGTCTAATAAAAATGTGCTTAAATGAAACCTGTAGCAAAATTCGAGTAGGTAAATATGTATCTGAGACATTCCTCATCAAGAACGGTCTAAAACGAGGAGATGCTTTGTCTCCCTGGCTCATTAACTTTGCGCTAGAATACGCCATCAGGAAAGTCCAAGCTAGGCAGGAGGGTTTGCAATTGAACGGGACACATCAGCTATTGGCATTTGCTGATGATGTTAATTTATTGGGGGACGACATAAATACAATGAAGAGGAACACAGAAGTTTTACTAGAGGCTGGTAGACAAGTGGGGCTGGAAGTAAATTCAGAAAAAACTAAGTACATGTTAGTATCTCGTTGTCAGCGGCAGGCGGGCAAAATTATCTTAGGGTGGCTAATAAATCTTTTGAAAGTGTTACAAATTCAAATATTTGGGAACAACAATAACAAATCAAAATGATACTCATGAGGAAGTTAGGAGGAGATTGAATTCCGGAAATGCTTGCTACTTCTCAGTTCAAAATATTTTTGTCTTCCCATCTGATTTCTAAGAACCTGAAGATTAAAGTTTACAAAACAATAATTCTGTCTGATGTCCACTCAGAGGGAGGAACACAGATTGCAGGTGTTTGAGAATCTGGTGTTGAGGAGGATATTTGGGCCTTGGAGAGAAGAGGATGGGGTATGGAGAAAACTGCATAATGATGAGCTTAAGAATTTGTACTACTCTCCCAAAATTCTCAGGGTGATTAAGTCGAGAAGAATGAGATGGGCAGGGCATGTAGCGCACATGGATGGGACAAGAGGTGTGCACCCGGTATTGGTCGGGAAGCCTGAAGGGAAGAGACCACTGGGGAGACCTAGACATAGATGAAAGTTGGATCTATGGGAGATACGAGTTGAAGGTGAATGGATTTTGCTGGCCCAGGACAGGGACCAGTACAGGGCTTTGATTAATTCGGTGATGAGCCTTTGGTTCCCTGAATCATCTAGTTAGTTACTGCAGAAATGACTACCCAAATCATGAAGTGCATCATGGTGGTATGACAACTATGCCTGGACAATGAATTTCACAGAACGTGGGTTTAGTGAATGGGTAGAGAGATATTGCTGTAGATGATGGAAGGATAAAATCTATGTGAATTCCACAAACATGAATGTGTTGTAAGCCAATGGGTTACATTGCAGTAAACATCAACCCAAACTGATCACGTAACTGTAGCAGTACAAGTCTCTGAGGGGGTGGAAAAATTAAGTTACCACAAATCATGAAACAGAGCAATCTTACTTTGGTATCATGTTCGCCACCACTGTATTCTATTTGTATTCTATGACACTAGTGTTTTGGTTCAAGTGAAACATTTTGTCATTCTCAGGGTCTGAACCTGCATTTTCCACTTTCCGTATCACTGTAGAGGACGCTATGTCTGTCGCTATGAGCACAAGGCGCACTTCTGTCATTTCACCACATGATGCTATCATGGTGACATGCATTTTCACTTGAATCAAAGCATACAGTTTCCAAAAACAGTACAATATCCACACAGAGTATTCCAATTCTCACATTACTAAACAGGATTCATATCAGAAAAATTCAGCAACTAGTTCCCCACATTAATATTCTGGAATGATGGAATCATCTGATTAACCTATTCAGTCCGAAACAAGCAGAGGTCTGACTAGGTACAAAGTTCTGGATTATATTTTATTTTAAAACTAGCAACATTAAATAAATTATTGCCCATAGGTTTTCACAGCTTTTGGCTGAGAGCCAAAGCTCTCACCCAAAAGCCAAAGTTACACGCTGAATTCATATTTCAGTCGACAGATTAAATAAATATGTAACTAAGGACCAAGCCACCCAATGGCTGAAAGCGCAGGTCCCCTGTTCTAAAATTCTTGCAACTTGCATGCCAATGCCATGTTGAGTCAACATGAAGGCAATACACAACAAAATTGAGGAAACTTATGATTCAAGAAACAGGACACAACAAAGCACAGTTCTTGAACATGTATCAATTACTGATCTGCAGACTTCAACTTACATTAAAAAGAGTAGACGGAAAACAAACTTAACGTGCGCAACTTGAAGCAAATTATTTTGCGCTGTTTTTCTACACACTTCAAACACAGACTGAAACACATCACGAGATAAGTTCTTTTTTCCTCTGTCTATAGAAGTCGATATCATCTTATTTCAAGAACCGCTTCACTACCATTTGCATATGATTATAAATTCTGGTTCCTTAAAACTTGCTTAATCCAGTGAGATTTTAAGTTTTCATGGTGGTGAGTTTAAAGATGACCATTTTCTGGGTTACTATGCCATGCAGTCTGGTTGGTCAATGTCTACCTGACTACACAGTGCAACATCTCACGAAATGGTCACCTTTCTGCTTAATCTGTTTTTGGTGCTGAAACAAAATCTGGAAACTACGGATTTAAAACTGATAATAATCACAACGGTGGTGGTGACGATGTGGAAAACAGTGACTTCAATAGACAGGCAATAAACAAACATAAAGCAATGTTCATGTCTCGGTTTCTCACAATGAATCCATAGAAAGATAATTTATAAGCCATATACTAACCACATATTATATAAATCAAAATTCACATCTGTTTCTGCATATAAAATGTGTTACGGTGTTAAGTTAGTGCACGTAAAAATCATCACAAATCCATTAAGTCTGTTAAGACAACAGGGTAAGAGTAAGCATTAAGTGATTCACAGTCACGTGTTTAAAAACGGACAGCAACAGCCCATCTTGAAAATGTTTAAGGCAGAATGTAAGAGTTTCGGTGGATCCACAGTTCCATAAGCAAACCATGAAAAAAAATCTCTGCTGAACATCAATATAATTAATCTTCAGAATTCATATGAAATCCAAACATAGCCAAATGTTAATTATACCAAAAAAAATATAGCATATTTACCAATAAATTTGATGCACAGTCTCCCTTTAATAAAAGGAAAATCCCACATTCTTAAATATTCACTCAAATGCAGTCATGGATGCAACTGACGGCAAACGAGCGTTAAAAATCAGTTTCCACAAAACTTGACACAGCTTCTATCTAAATGGCAACACAAAACTCAAATAGCCTCAACAACTGCGTTCCATCACAGCCAAGCAATCCCTCATTGCACCTCAAACATGTGACGTACTAAGAGAGATGTTGCGATACAATGAATGTGTCTTACTGTTTCTCAAAAGTCTTCTTCCAGCTAAACTAAGCGGGTTCCTGGTCGAAGCCTCAACACGTTTCTGAATTGATCCTATACAGGCAAGACAAACATTCAGTCTCAATCTGCAGCTGGCTCAACTTTTTCATGAGTCTATACGTCAACAAACATCACAGCAGTGTGGTATGGATGACAGCAGAATTCCTTTGAGAGCTTAACAACCAATGATGATGAACGAGTGATCCTCGGGATAGCACACAGAAAGCCAAAGGGAGGAAATATACACAGAAAGGTGGAGAGAAGACATTGTCAATAAGATGAGCTGCCCTGATGGAAATGTCAATGGAAGATGACAAAGACATCAGCACACACTATAAGAAAAGGTGGTCAAATTAAGGTCACAGTTACATGATGATAACAATTGGGTTCCCTTCAACAATTAAAAATGGTGTTATTAACTGGCCACTGAGGAGAAGGATACGGTGAAGATGCAAAATGAAACAAAGAGCACTTGTGAGAGGACAGAGATGAAAAACGCTTGTCATAACACAGTGACGGAATATGACAGACAGTCAGAAGATCCAAGTACGTTATTAACATAACATCTACTTTCAGAAGTTTTAGAGTTTGCAAATAAAATTCCTTTGACATCAGTTTTTAGGGAGTAAGCTTCTTCCGATTTTTGGAAGCAAAGTAGGGCTTAGTAGGATTTCAAGATTTCACGGCGGTGAGTTTGAAGATGGCTGTCTTCTGGGTAGGGCTCGTTTGACTAAGAAATGATCTACTGCAATAAATCTACCTACACAGCACAAAACAATAACACAGAAATTGACACAAATGCAGACTTTAAACAGGATCTGAACCCCCAGACATGGAGCATGAGCATCCCAGGATCATATACACCGAGATTAAATGGATCGGCAAATAATGCCACAATCTGAAAACATTTTGCCACTACATATTTAAAGACTTCATCAAATAACAACAAACACATTGACATTTGAGTCAAAAAGAATGATGTTGACCTGTAAATACAAATAAAAGACTTTCGGAGCATAACGAACAAGATTCGCCATATCACTAGCCAACTGAAGACGCTCCCTTAAAAGCAGCGTAAAATGGGAAGGGATGGATGAGCAAAGACCTCAAATATTAAATCAGGTCAAAATCAATCCAATGGTTCTTCAGACACTAGATGACACAGAATAAAAATTAAATTTAATTATCTCAAAATCCATTTGACTTAAGGAAATAATTGCATTATTATAAAATGTGTTTTTCTTTTCTTTTTTTTCTGCAACTTTCTCTCAAAACACTTTTAAAATGTTTTGCTCCCATAAATAATTAGCAAGTTAAATGCAGACATGTCCATTACTCATTTCTGTTTCAAAAAAGTTTGAATGTATCAACTAATTTGAATAAAATAAGGGCTTGTAGCCAAAAAGTTTAACAATTAATAAGTAAAAATATTACATGATGAACGCAAGTAGACTGTCATCATGAAGAGATTAACATGAAGATCTAAACCTAACATAACATGTCATAACAAAAATATTATATGCAGGATACAACACATATGCTATGAACAAAATCGATAATAAAGGTACCAAATACAGAAACACACTCTGCATTCAGGAAAACATCTTATAAGAACAGCAAATATCATAATGCAACATAACATGACAGTAACCCTGTTACTTACTTTTTCAAAGGCACTTGGCTGGCCCCTGGCGGTTGGCCACCATTTCTTGCATCAGTCACTCGACATGCGACCATATTATATGCTGCGTACAAAATAAAGGAAAACTGTAAGATCAAAGTTCAACATGAGAAAAGTTACGTAACTGACTGCACATATACGTGAGGTGCAGAAGTCCATTCGGCGCATTTTAATGGTGCTTCAAATTTCATGCCAAATATGTGAATACCACACAGAAGTTACATATCAGGACTGTCTTTGGCTCACTGCCGTTAAGACATTTGCCTTCCCGAGTCACCAGATACTAATTACCATCCAAAAATTCTCATAGCCTGAGATTGTTGAGGAAATTCAGATTTCAGTGATTAACGTTAGATCCTATGTCTGACCTCCCATCTTTAATAAACACAGGACAAACTTTTATTATTGATATTAAAACATGAATTCTCGTTCATCTTTTACAGATCAGTGGTAACTTTATACACCACCAGCTTAAAATTCAATACCTCTGTACTTTGCTCACAGATTGTACATATGAGTTTTGTATAATTCTCAGAATAAACATTGATTATTTCCCTTAACAGCATGAACCAAGTGATCACTGTAATGTAAATGGGCTCTCTTTGTGGTATGGACTGAATTCTTATATTATTTGGATGAGCTTCAGCTTTAAAAGGTTAAAAACACTATTAAATGGAAGGATTATTCAGTGCCAAATCACGTGACAAAATTAACGCACTTGATAAAGTGATGAGAAGTTACTGTGACTGACTTCAGATACCATTCCGCCTTCCGCACAAAATTAAGAAGGAAAATCTCGAGGTCGCGGCAGCTGGTGTCAAGCGGAGACATTCGCCGAGTTACTACCAAACAGATGTAATGTCTCAGGCAACGAATTTTATAAAATGCAACTGCGTGAATTGAAGAAAAATTGGGAAAGAGAGGTAAATACTGCAGCTCCATATTTTTTAACTGCAATTTTCGAGCAAAATTTAGACAAGATCAATTTGAAAAGGTACTAACGATGGTACGTTACAGTCGAGATTACAAAATTCATGGACTTCTTCCATTGTCTGGTTGTTAAAAAAACACATCAGGGAAGCTGTATCTGCTTCCAGCCTCAGGTTAAGAGGGGGAGAGGGGCACCTACTCAGTTGTTTCTGATAGAAAAAAAACTAAACTCAGTCACTGTGATTCAGGTCAGCTCTTTCTACATCTTAACCTGAGGACTGAAGCATGCCCAGCTTCCAAAACATAGTGTTTTTTTTTTAACCAGGTGATGGACAGAGTCCATGAATTTAGTAATCCTGATTTAGACAAGATATTTTAAACTTCCCTGCACTCACCCTGTAAATATACTAAGACGGCTTGGAAGTGAAACAAATCATGAGCGCCAAGCAGATGCTCTGTACGCGCTTAACTAAACTGATATCACTATCATGCACTCAAAATCTTCAAACTAGAGTAACTGATAGCTCCAAGCAAAGGCCACCTTCCCCTGAAGGCAAAGGATATGCAGTGTGTATTGAATAGGGGAACGGATGAATCACAAGACCTGTCTTGCCAGATTCCGAAATTCACTTCCAAGCCACCTCAGAGAACCGGCTCTTTAACGAACATCAGCAGGTACCTTTCTCTTGTTTCCGACGTTTCCTCTTGTTGCATATCTTGACGGCACAGACTGAGAGAATGATGGCAACAATGAAGAAGAGGATACCGCCCACAACACCAGCGGTTATGGCCTTGTGTTTGACCCTCGCTGGCACTGGGTATTTAACCTCTTCACTACTTTCGTAACTTTTCAGAGAATTTGCCAGTACTCGAAAGTAATAGGTTCGTCCACCAACCAAGTTCTTCACTGCAAGCCGACACATCACACCATCAGCCACATGTAATGGCTAAGTATCACACTAACCAATTAACAAACTGTCTGTCCACTATCTTATTACTGATTATGAAACTCATCACTGGACACAAACTTCAGCCTTCCATCCACAGAACCTGTTTCCCAAGATCCATTTCTATATTATACTCCTTTCAATGTGACCTCTTTCTAAGCAGACGTCCAACCAAAGCTCTCTGTACGTATTCTATTCTGACGAAGCTACATAATAATGTGCTTTAAATCATGGCCTTACCATGAAAGGTCTCCCATACAAAAATATACAAGAATAAAACTTGGCATTAACACATGAAAAGATTCCTTGATTCTGCGTGTCATATTTGTACTTCTAAATTAAAACTCACCAAGATACGATGTGTCCTCGGGTCGTATTGAGGCTTTGTTTAAAGTTTTCCAACCTGAATCTGTCTTGTACTTGATTGTGTAGTACTGGACAAGATGGGCTCGCTCCAGTGGGGCTTGCCACGTGATTAGAAAGCCGTTATTGATCTCAGTGACAGTGAGATTCCGTGGTGGTCCGGGTTTAGGCCCTGCCAACATTCACACTCCACTTTATTCCTTGTAACAAGTTTAAACACAAGACAATTTTTACAAGTATCTGAGTAGTATATTATTTTTCTTTTGTAAATAAATATTCTGAACACATTCCACAAACATTTATCAAACTGTAGATCTTAAATGCTTTTGTGATAATTTATAAATTCTTGTAATTACAACATTAATGAACTGAAGGGCTATGCAGTAGCGTGCCCTGAAAAATTCTATTAAGAAAAAGTACACACACTGAATGTCCCAGCTGAGCGGTCAGTATGTTTACTTCATATTTGAGAGGCCCCTTGTTCAAATCTCTGGATATCCTGGGTTTTCTTCGTTTCTTCAGGCAAAGTGCTGGGATAGTACCTTAAATAGGCCATGACCACTTCCTTCCACAACCTTTTAAATTTGCGATTTGCTAAATTGCAGCCACTGAGAGTGTAATTAAATAAGTCATAAGAAAAACATTCTGTACACATGGGTTTGGAAATCTCATAATCAAAATTGAAGTTTTGAAGAGTTTTCCTCTTGGACGTACCGTATAGATATACATCACATTGCAATATTGCTCTGAACTCGAAAGGTTTCAGACTGAAATCTTGGATGAGAAACTCGCTATTCACTGAGGCTTCTTTTGTTTTATTCCTTAGTCCACTATTTTCATACCGAAATAAACCTCAGGAACATGTCATCACCACTTAGCTCCACATCCTTACAAATTCATCACTGAGAATAAAAGCTACACAGTTGATATAGCAGCAGTAAACAGACACAGAAATAAGCAAAATATCAAACATAAGTGACTGAACATTGTGCTTGAGCTGTTAGCACTCCTGCTTTGTATTTGGGAGGTCCCAGGTTCAAATCTCAACTCAGAAACCAGGTATCCTGAGGTTTTCCCCAGTCCCTCCAGAAAAATTCCAGGACAGTACCTTAAATTAGTCATGACTGCTTCCTCCCACATCCTTTTTTCCAATTCATTATTCACTAATCATTCGATGCTACATAGTCCGAGATACTGATAGTGTCATTAACTGAACTATAAATAAACCAAACGTAAGTGACACGTTAAGTACCTTCAGATTAAAGGAAATACGTTAATAAAAATGATACAGTCAGTGAAGCAACAAACCTTTGGGTCGCAGGATCGGTGGGTAGAGAGTGGCTCCTGTGGAATCAGTTGGAAAGACAATAAGACTATAATCAAATATGTCTGGAATAAAATAGAACAGTGGAATAAAGGCAATGACGTGTAGCAAACCAAAATAAAAGTTTAATGTACAACAAAACCACACTTCAGTAAACTGAACAAACACACACAAATCAGGAGGAGGGTCACGTCAGCATGTGCATGGAAATAAAACTGCAAACTGTAAAATAAGGGGCGTTTGGACTGCCACGGCTTCCTACTTCTCTCCGCCGCACCACGTCACAGACAAGTCGGTGGCAGACGATTAGCTTCCTTTGTATGGACAGCACGCAGATAATGGCAAAACAACATACCTCTTTATTCGCAACATAAAATTTACTTTGTGGCAACATATGTATCATTACACTGATTTCTAAACCCAAAACATTTTGTAAATTACATCTAATTTCCTTTATCAGATGAAACAAATCCTAATTACGATGTTCCACTCGGTACAGCCACTCTCCGGCACAGTGTCCGACAAATCATAAACACTGCATCACACGACCATCAGAAACCTTTTGGCAAGCCCTGCATCAGTCAGCTTAAAAGCAAGAATACCATGCCAACACCATTACATCTTCTTAACCCAAAGACTATAACTGTTCATGGATTTCTTCAGTCCATCCACACAGCACAGTACATTAAAATATGCCGCAATAATTAGAAATTTGTCATTAAATAGCCCAATCTTACATTCTAAAGAGACTTTATTATATCACCAGCAGTGTGAGGAAGTGGCCAGCCTGAAGAAACATATCAAAGACTGAACACCCAAAGCAACGTGTCATGACATGCAAAGAAACACAGAACAGACAGTCTACTGAAGCCATCACACTCCAGGAAATCGCCAAATGCGAACCAGTTCTTAGATCAAGAAACTTGATTTCTCTTTTGCTAAATATCCAAAAGACAAAAACATCGACCGGTAGTCAGACACTCGGATTCACTGATAAGTTGGCAGACTGCGACCACGACATAACATCACAACTTTTTATTCTGTAAGATTATATATTTTTATAATTTATTTTTTTTGTTTTATCTGATTTGTTCACTTTTTTAAAATCTTCAAGACAGAATTTCAGAAAATTTCTGGAATGAAAATGATTCTACAATTCACACAACAAACAACAACATAATTCTTGAGTCTGAATATAGGAAAAAACATCTGGTAGACCAAAAGACCTCAAAGCCATTATGAAACTGTGTTTAATAAATAACTGATGGCTCCATGAAACCAAGAGACGACAAACTACAAAACCGCCTGCCAATGAAGAAGCTCTTACCGTCCACTGGTGGTAATTCTGGTTGGCCACCCCGAGACGAGAAAGGTGTACTTACATCTGTGCATGTGGAAATCAAAGAAAGATCAGACCAACCCAGAGAAAGGAAAGCTGACCGCAAGATGTCTTCACAGGAAATATGTTTATGCTCACTGCACCGTCCTGGACCGTATGAATGACATATGTCACACTTCATTCTAACTCTTTATAACCCATAAAGCTTCAAGAGGCCTTCATTCATGAGTTTCAAAATATGAAACTGTTACATTTCTGATTCTGATTCCTATCGAGTCACATTCTAGTAACACTTCTAGCATGACTGTCTTTCACCTTTAATAACACAAGAGTTAACACTTCTAGCATGACTGTCTTTCACTGCTAAGGGGACAACCGACCTTTAATAACACAAGAGCAAAAGCAATTTTGAGATTTCGGATTCTGGGATACTGTGCCATGTGGTCTCGTAGAAGTTGAACAATGTTTATGAGGTGCTGACTGTCTCCATTGCCAGGGTAATAATGATGGTGGAATCAAGTACCTCTGAAATGTCAGTCAACTTCTGTGAGAGCAAGTAGCACAATATCCCATGGGGTTACCATCTTCAAAATACAAAGCTGGAATTTGTTCTCTTAATTATCATTAATATGAGATAAATCATACTGCCTCCATATTCAGGATGGAAGGGGTCTCTTAAAGAAAAAAGGGCAATAAGTTCCTACAAAATGCAGGTAACCGAGTCTACAAAGCATCACGGCCCATAAGAAAACAATCTACAATTCTAGCAACAGTCTCTTAACCTCGTAAAAACATTTTAAGATTCTTGGAGCGTTAGCTATTATAAACAGTACATCACACAGCACAAAACAGAAACAGTTCAAATTCTGGATCTTAAAAAGGAGGTCAGCAACGCTACAGCCACCAATATGCACAAATTTTGCAAGAAACAAGAAAACAAAACACATTACTAAAGAGATTAGAATGAAGCAGGAAGGTATTGTTTAGCGCATAAAAACACATTTGCAGTGCACGGATTTCTCTCAGCGAAGATGCCGTATTACAGCTATAACATATACTTGGCACGGGACAAACGACCCCATTCAGTAAACAGTACTTGTAAATATGGAGCACAACACGTGTTTCTCTATTATAATGATGTTTCATGTCTTCCAACTGGTTTATTAATAAACTGTAATCAACATTTCTAACAATTTAGCTTCGTTTCATGCCTTCGTTCAATAAAGATTTCCTACTTTGCTTTTGACAATTTCTGCTATTGTAACTTGACGAAAGGATATCGGAAGAATGCCGATGCACAGGAAGTGTCCGCGTCGCATGCACTGCGATGGTATACATAGTTACCATGAAGCATCTTGAGGCAGTAAGATCTCAATGTTAATATACACACTACAGAATTCTATTTAATACCTTGAGGCACATTAGTTATTCAAGCACAGGAATTAGAAACGCGAATTAGAAACAAGCCTGTGTTTGCGCAGTAACGCACTTCAAAATCTTGAGCTACACATCCAGTACACAGCAAAAGAAACCAGATGGCACTGCAGAAAATTTCAAGCCACTTCTTAAGAAAGAAAAAAAGAGCAGCCACGTTAGCTCAGTCAAAAATTACACTAAAAGAGATTCAATTCCACAAAGACATTTAAAATATCTCTCATTAACCTTTGGAAGTATTTTGCTCTGTTCACAATTAAGTAAAGAAACCTCATTTTATTTAGTTGATAAATTAGGGAAGAAAATCTTACCTTACGTTCGGTAAATATGGCACGTTACGAAGATTCAAACTTCAAGCTTTTGACCAGTTGGAACAAATTATATGGCTTTTTGGCAGGGATTTAGTATTTACCAAAATATAAACTGTTGGCTGCCCTATTTTATAATCTTTTTACAAATTTAAGACACCTGAATATCATAAACAATAACACACCATGCTTAGTGCTCGGTATGTCACAAACGATGATCTGCTCCAACGCTTCAAAAACAAAGATTAACAGAGAAAATGGCGCACAACTCAATGATAGCGCAAAGAAGAATCATGTCCATTTTAATGTAGGTATTGGTGTATAAAAACCATAGATTAATGTATTTAGTTTGGATATTTCTCCAACTATACAGAACAAGCTACTGAACCCAAACACATTTATAAGATATTTGAAATTGTTCTGAGAACTTGTTTAGGGTAATTCCAATTTTGAAAACTATTCCTCACAGCTCTGCTACCCTCAACAGATCACACAAATATATTAATGTAGTAAAAACTCATGCCAACAAAGGTACTCAGATAAATATCCAACTGAGTCTGAATGTGTTAATGGCAGCCGAGTTATACATTCCTTTCACTCTTAGACATAAATTCATTTCATCAAGACATTTTCACACCAGTTAACACTTTCCACTCCTATATCCATCTTCTTTGTTAACTATAGAATTTTGGTCCAAACTCATTTTGTGGGTTTTTATTTCTTAAACTCAAAGAACTCTTCATCTAATTTACCAGCGTTACTATCATCATCTTCCAACCTTCCAACCATCAAGTGTTGGAGCAGAACATAAATTTACAACAGAATTCTCAGACGGCTAGCCACCAACATAAACTGACATGGTAGTCGGTTTGATACCGACACACAGTTGTATCAATTCAAGGCGACTTCCACTAATATACTACGATGATTTCCATTGATGAATGAAAGTTTTTGAACGGCAAACTTCAATTTATTCACGTAGTAACACGTGAAAAACTTAATGAAACTGTATTTCCAGTTGAACTGAACACAGGAACTAATGGAATGAAAAATGTTGTTGAATCAACCTCAATGTGGGACTGAAAAGTGTTCATATTTCAATAACCTAAATATGAATAAGACACGAATTTAAGAACCACATATTAAAAGCTAAAATTAATATACTTAATACAATTTATAGCACGTGGTGCAAAAACTTACCGAGCGTTCGGACAGTGATAACTTTACTGAGCATACCATCTCCAAGAGCATTCTTTCCCACTACCTGAAACTCGTACGTGGTACCCGATGACAGCCTGTTAATCGTAACCTGAGTGCTGCCAGAGGGTGTCACCGGAATAGTGGACCAGTCTGACACACCACCTTCCCTGTACCTGAAATAACAAGAGACAAAAGGTTAAACACAAGTTGGAGTACGCACACTTTCCAAATGCGCTCTTTGTGTAGCTTCTGCATACCTTATTTGCTCTGATGTCTATTATTGCAGATAAAAGAAAAATACAGATGAAAATGCACCGCCATCAGAGACCTTCACCTTCAAAGTGGGTCCAACAAATATTCACACTTGTTTCACAATTCTTCCCAGTGGCGAAAGAACGACTCAGAAGCTTTTTTAAAGACACCAAATTATTATAAACATCACAGCTGCCAAAAGTTCTAGAGAATAGAAGAAGACTTCAAGGAAGCAATATCTGGTTAAGTAACAAAACTGTCTCACTTGTGAAATATTACGCTTAAGCCAATAATTTCTGCACAAGAAAGTTTAAGCACGCAGCTAAATTTACACACTACAGGGATATTTCAACATTTGTAAACCATCAAGTTCCACAATCACAAATCCAATTGAAGAATAATTTATTAAAAGATGTTGATATAGTGCCTAGTAGCACTTACAAGAATGTTCTGTCTAAAGCGATCCAACATGAGTATTTATAATGCTCGTCTTAAGGTGGCGACTGACTTGTAACATTTACTTGTAATGTAACATTCGCGGCGAGCATGTTACATTACACCACAACTGGTGAGGCGTATCGAATGCTCGTTTTGAACGCTCGGCTCGACTGTGCTCATGTGTGCTCCATTCATTTCATTCAATATGTCGGACGTGGAGGTTGTGTTATCTTTGTTTCATTTAATACGCTACTCTTATCTAAAGAACTCGTGAATGCTCGTTACGACGCCGCTCGACTGACTGACTGACTTGTAATGTAACACTCAAAGGGATTCGCGAAAAAACCGACAACACGATGGAGCGCCCGCAAGCGTGAGCGGCTCGCATCGAGCGGCTCCGTTCGCTGTCTTCACTTGTGTAATGCTCGATTTGTAACACGTTACATTACAGGCAAATGTTAGAAGTCAGTCGCCACCTTAAGATGTGTTAAGAAGTTCTCATCAGTTTCTGCACATTCAAGCAAACCTGAATCCATAGACATTTAGTTTTCATTCTGCTTCTGTCAACAGTCTTGGAACAAATTTGAATGAAACGCACTTCGTCCAAAAATGTTCTACGATGACCTGACACAAGTCATACGAAATTCAAACCTCTTCATCCGGTTGATGAATACTCAACCTTGTCATTTCGCAATAATCATGCACTTGACATGCAAACTTCTTTCATTCAGGACGCTTACCACGTCTGACAGACATTCATCCCTCTTTACAATGACTGAACCACTCCAGAACTCATGCCCAGTTCACCGCCTCATCACCAAAAGCTATTTTCATCAACTGATAAGTTTCAATCACTGTCTTTACAATCTTCTACAAAAATTTGAAGCCCATACATTGTTCTCTATTCTCAGACGTCGTTAAACTGATACGAGACAAAGACGCATTGACTACGAATTGACTGAGCAATGAAATGAGTTGTAGGCACATAACTGAGCAGTGAGATTTACCTGAGACGCAAACTTGTCTCAATACTTTCTAGGCAAACCTCAGGTAAAACAGGATGTAAGAACATGGACAACGCTCACCAGATGGTGTAGTCCTGCTTGTAGTCAGGTCCCCCACTGTAACCAGGCAACCACTGCAGCGTGACAGCAGTCTCACTGGCATTTGCAGACACGTTATATGGCGCGTGAGGTTGCGTGCCCTCGACAACAAGCTGCGTCGCGGTGACAATCGTTGCCACCTCATTGGATGCCACACACTGGTAGAATCCGAAGTCTGTTCTTCGAAGGCCTTCAATTGTTATGTTACCACCGTTCACTCGGGCACGATTTCGTTGAAGAGGGGAACCATCCCTCTGTTAGGAAATTAAGGGAAGAAGCATAAAACTCTGGGTGGAGAAAGAAGCAATGCATACAGAATTTTAATGTGGATACTTCTTGCAGAGACATAATTACTCACTCATTTATTAATATGACTTGAAATTGAAACTTCATTTTATTCAAATATGTTACCCGCAATCTAAACAATGCTTCCATATCCGTACGCAAGTCTGGACACAGAGTGAAACACGAACTCCTTACCCGCTGCCACTGAATGGTTGGTTTTTGGGTGCCTTCAGTCTCTTGAGCATCACAGTGCATTTCTACTGTCTCCCCCACTTTGCGCTGATACATACTATCTGGCTCAATAGTGAATACTGGTGGTTTGCGGACTAGGACTTCCATCGGGCCAGATGAACCCTGAGTTCCCTGGGCGTTGTATGGCGTGCACGTGTACCGGCCTTCGTGGTTCTGGTTCACCTGAAAATGAAAACAGCCTCAATCAGAATGCCTTCACTTTTAATGCCACATAGTTTCCATCTAATATTAATGGAATGTTGGCAATATGACCACGTGTTCATTCACTCATTCATTTATTTATCAATTCATTCATTCGTTCATGAGTAACTTGCAAGAAAGCTCTGACCACACACCATACCAATATTAGTGTCACATTAGACAGCGGTTGCATTTCTATATGGGAGGTAACCTGCTCTTCAACTAACTCCAAATTTTGAAAAGCAGTGTACAGATGTCAGTTGATACAAATAAATTGATACAATACGATACCAGAAGGAATTATTTAATATCAATATGAACTTAGCATCATGATATATAGCATAACATTCTGGTAACATAAAATTACTTGTATAAGTCCAAAAGAAATGAAACACCATAAACCCATCTAAAATCTGGGGAGATAGTTCAGATAGTTTTTTATAATACTGGTAACCAGTCACAAGTCTACAGAGTGTCGCAACCCAAATGGTCACAATCCACACATGCAGTGCCGTGAAAACCTAAATTTTCATACAACATTAAGAGTTACTAAAAACCATCAACGAGAGGCAAAGATATTGGAAACAACAACACGTGTAACAACAGCGGAGGGTGATGCAAGATGGACACAAAGTAACTTCAGCTGATGTCTCACAGCAACTAATGAAGACAGAAAATCACCGCTTTGCAAATTTCATGGCAGTCGCCAGAAACACTGCTCCAAAAGCACTCCCCTGTAACTGGTATCTGAGAAACAACCATAAGCCAGATCCTCAAAGCTGCCAGACAAAGACTAGTGCTGACCTTTGCCTGAAGGTGGTCCACAATATCATTCTCAAAAAGGAACAGAAACTGACAATGAACATTTACAAGTCTCAATAAAATCCTCTTCGGCGACAAGCTGCGTCAAAATGGAACCGTAGCCAATTGTTTCATAGACTGAAATGCTCCTATTTTGACACAGCTTGTTGCCCGAGAGGATTTTACTGCGTTTTGTCACCACGAAAGCCTCGAGTCATATATTTATAACTCTGTTTCCTTAACTTTTGTAATCCGTGAGCCAATTCAGCCGACCACGCGTCACAACCAGCACGCGACTCAACCATCAACCTTCAGTGTGCATGTGTCATTGCTAACACAAGATCCTGTTCAACATGTGCTGCACCAGCATACCATTAGACTGTTAATACCAGAGTTAAGTTGTGCTTGCAGGCCAGTAGTTTTTTATTTGTAGTGTTCTGTCTGACGACAGGTCCATATGAACAGGATCCTTCCATCATTTTCTCTTCTCGGACTGGGACTGGGACCTGTTCATATACGTTCTTGGCAGATGATCCAGAAGTGGTTTGCCATTGCCTTCTTCTGTGTGTAAATGGAGTAATTGTTGGGATGCCACGGAGGAAAACTCCGTGTTGCCTAGACCACGGCCTTGCCCAACACAAGTTATAAATTCGGGCACCGCCGGGAATCTAACCCGAGACCCCAGGATTACAAGGCCAGCGTTCTAACCGCTAGACCACCGTGGCACAAAAAGGCCAGTAGTACAGGGACTTAAATCCTCTGTTCCGATACGATAAACTTTATACTACAAACTGTGATACGAAAAACCGTAATTTTCATTACATATAAATACTATTAGCTACCAAAGTGTGTAAGTTATTGAACAAACCACAATCAACTCACCCGAGTAAAGAGTAGAGAGCCATTATTCATTATTACAATCTCTTTGGTCTGGTATGGCTCAAGGAGGCGTTTGTCTTTGGTCCAAGTGACATACTGAAGTGGAGGGTTTGCTTTAATGTAGCACTGCACTACGCCAGCAAGACGGAAAGGCAGAAACTGCACCGAGGGGGTGAAGGTCACCTTCGCAGGGTCTGTGAATACCACATAAATGTGAGGTAAAACCAATAAACAGAACTAGAAACAAGGAGTTACAACGAAAAAGTCATGATAACTTTTTTTTTCCTTTACATACTTCTGTATGTATAAACAGGCTTGCGGAAGCTTTTAAATTAACAGAATTTCTGGGAAGAACTTCCAGTGTCTACTTCACCTTAAATGTTATGCATTATAAATAACAGATATAACCTCAAAGTTCTGCATTATAGCTATATTTGTAAATGTACAATGCTTCTGACATGTCACCATACCAAATATCACAATCCATAATACAATCAAAAATTAGTTATTGTCAACAAAAATTAAAACTAAATGAAGATTTTTCATGACGTGTTATTATTTTACATTCTACAAAAAAAAATAATCCCTTAACAAAATTTGCATATTACAACATACTTTCTTTTTAAATAATCTGATTTAACCTAAAATATCTAGCTCCATTCATTGCATGCTGATGTACTTTGCAACTTGTAATTTTACACAGCAGTCAAATTGCTGCTACTGACGAGAAATTAAGCAAAATATGCAAAGGTGAGATGACTTGAAGATATCCGTCTTCTGGGTTGTTGCGCTGTGTAGTCTGGTCGATGTTAACCAACGTTTCAGAGGTCATACTGCCTCCGTCATCGACCAGACTACACAGCGCAATAACCCAGAAGACGGATATCTTCATACTCACCGCTGTGAGAACCTCAAGTCTTACGTGAGATGACTTCTAGTGGCATAATGTTCAACACAAATTTCATAAATCTTTCGTTGATAAGTTCAAGACCCTGTAGACAATGGCCTACCTTAATACTCCCTCTCCTTAAAAAAATAAGGGAAAATTACCTAAGGTTGTCCTGCTCAGTGATACATAAGACATATTTATTTATTCATTCATTATTTATTTAATGGTACTGTCAGTAGCTTACACCACATAGCTTAAAATGGTGAGATGATTAATGAATAAAGAATTAAAAAGGACATGGAAGGAAGTAGACATGTAATAATTTAAGGTTTTATCACAGCATTTGCCTGCAGGAACAGACAAAAACCAAGAGGAACCTCAGTAAGCACGACCGTCCTCAGGCCGGGTACACAGGAGACAGACAAGCCATGATATGCAAAAGCGTGGCAGGGGGATAGATTTATGTGAGAAAACAAACACTTGGAAGAACGAGACAAAGGTAGGAAAATAATATTAAAATGGATCTGATGTGAAATGGCTGAAGGACCAAATCCAGGAGCAGTGCAGAATTTTCACATTCTGTTACCAGAGATTAAACTATACGTTTCTGAAACTTACTAATTTGTAACAGAGTACATGACAGGAAATAATTGGTAGCAAATCGTCAATGTTTTCTTCGTTACTGACCGCAGTGTGGGCCAAAAGTCACAACAAACATTGCCTACGCACTTACACTCAACGTTGAGGTAAGCTGCAGCAGACTGGGGCTCCCCAATGCCATTGGTGACCTCACAGAGGTACTGCCCCGAGTCATCTGCACTCACAGGGTTCACAATGAGGGAGCCATCACGACGGATCGTGACGCGCGTCTCCAGCGCCGCAACCTCCTTCACAGGAACTCCCTCACGGTACCACTTGACAGTGACGTTGCCTGGCAACGCCTTGGCTTCACATGAGAATTGTACCTTCTCCCCCTCCAACTTCGACTGGTTGGTTGGCGGGACCATGATGACAGCTCCACCTGCAAAGACACGTGTTCAGCCATAGAGAGGGAGGGCTGAAAGTTTCAAATGTTTTGTCAAGGCAGACCTCAAATGACAATAAATCCACACACAAATAATTGCTACCGCCTGAGAAGGAGAGACAAAATTTGCAGAATTCATTCACACTACATTCATGAGAATGTTAATTCTCGATGGAATACTAATTTCACACTTGTCACCATGATTATGCTGGAGTTCATACACTGAGGAGTATTTTAAATACACAAATTTCTGGAAACTTGTTACATATATATGGTTTAAGAAAACAGAAAAGAAGTAACCCATCTGTGAAAAATTTAAGGACGATAACATAGCCGAAGAGAGACAGGCCATGTAGACAAAAAACATGTGGCTGAAACAGCACAGAATTTGTTTACAACTTGGGAAGCATGGAGAAGCAGCTTTCCAATTGGTCAACGCTTAGCCGAGAAACAACGCCTTCAAAGTACGACAGACTCTTACACATGGCATAACTTGCTACAGAATTGCCACAACATATGTGTACTTAAATAAACTGACCAAGGAGTGGGTTGCCCCAAAACAAATGTTACGAATTAAAATAATGCAGGATACAAAAAACAAAACTTAAAATCTTTATTCTTATTAGTACGTGTTTGTTGAGTCTGTGATACGTGCTTCTCGTAATACTCTCCATGCCGCATTAAACGATCATGAATTTACATTTTATACACAGAAAAACCAAAGAAATGTCTAAACAGGATTAGGGGTTTTCACAGGGGTGGGTCCGAAGATAGCTGTCTTCTGGGTTATTGCACCGTGTAGAAGTTTACTGACGTTTCCAAGGTCCTTGCAGCCTCCATCATCATTTTGATGACTCATCATCCTGATGATAGACACAGTTAGAACCTCTGAAACGTCCATAAAATTCTACCAGACTACACGGTGCAACAACCCAGAAGACAGCCATCTTCAAATATCTAAGCCTTTCAAACCTTTGTTCATGTTTGTTAATAGAATATCGTCCTGTTGAGAAATAATTTTCATATAACATCTGGTTTCTGACAGCATGCACAAAAGCTTATCTTTGATCCTTTTCAACGTCTCTCCTGCCATTTCAAAGTCAGCGCAATGTTGCCAAGACACCGCAGCATTTACTCTAATACATGCTGTAGGGTCAGTGCTTTATGCATATGACATCTATTATAGAGCTATTACAAATGAAGTACACACTTGTAACATTTCTTTTACACAAATTGTTTTACTAATTTGTAGCTTAGATGCGTCATGTTTGTGTTGAACTAAGTATGTATTTATTATTCCAGTCTATACACAAACGTTATTTTAAAATGTTGTTGTTAAAATAACTCTATAACATTTGTAATATAAATATCACAATAAGTTATACTAAGTTATAATTGTAATTATAGTGCTTTTCATCGTATTACGATGTTACATTATTCGGCGCTTATTATTAACGACATGTTTCGATGCTATTATTGCATCATCTTCAGGTTTTATCGTTTTTTTTATCTTTTAAAACTATTATATATTACAATGCAACTATTTATTGATTTATAGTAATTAGTAATTAGACGTTAATTTCACAGAAAATGAACATCTGACTATTGACATACAGAACATTACGAAGAATGAAAAATCTACAAATGGAAATCTACAAAACAAATCAATAAATAGTTGCATTGTAATATATAATAGTTTTAAAAGATAAAAAAAACGATAAAACCTGAAGATGATGCAATAATAGCATCGAAACATGTCGTTAATAATAAGCGCCGAATAATGTAACATCGTAATACGATGAAAAGCGCTATAATTACAATTATAACTTAGTATAACTTATTGTGATATTTATATTACAAATGTTATAGAGTTATTTTAACAACAACATTTTAAAATAACGTTTGTGTATAGACTGGAATAATAAATACATACTGTTTTACTAATGTTGCATCAATACAAAATGAAAGTAACTTGTAACATTCCGGTTTCAAAGTTGGCATTTTCAAAAACATGTAAAGTCACACACACACACATTTCCTGGAAGGCTGACTGTCTGTGGAAACCCTAAATCATAACCCTCAAGATTCATTGACTGGTAACCCTGGTAATCTTCCTGTGTGGTTATGTTAGAACTCCACAGTTCAGCTTGATGTCCTGAAACACTGAATATTCAAAGCCACTGCATCAGTCAAAGGTTGGCATCATTTTGCTCATAACCTCAATGTTACCAAAATCACCAACAGAACTCATAAAGTGTATCTATGGGTCAAAGAGTTAATTTGGTTCCACTGATACTAATAAAAGTCCTGTTTGGCATTTAGTTTGTTCAAAATAAATCTATAGATTTATATACTTCATTTGTAACAGTCTTGTATTTTTGTAACCAGGAATTAATGGCGTTTTTGTTGAACTTTGAACTTTCATTTATTCATGACCACCAGCAATAAAAAAAAGATGTCAAAAAGCAGGAACATCATTTCCACCGCAACACAGCGCAGACAACTGTTCTGACATTATAACACTGAAAGGGTTAAAGAATAGTATTGGTAATGAATGACAGTTCAGTTACAATCACAAAAGATGGCTATAGTTTACCCATCATATTCCAGCAATGAATTTATTAGCCCATTCACTCAATATGGTTTATGGTTTATTAAATCTGACACAATCAAAATATCAGAACACTTAATGAATCATCAGTAAGCCTAAATCAGTCATGATCCCATATTAACCAAACTAGCTATATTTTGTGGCCAGTGCTCGGAAATCTGCAGAGCTAATCACGCCGGTTACGTATTCCAAAGTTTGGTTTATGACTCTTTCGTGGTTTACTTAACACTTAAAATGCCTAGGTTATGAGTCAGTGAAGGAGGAAGAAAGTGGATTATTTTAAGAAAATAAAAGGAATCCCAAAATGTAGGTGGAAAAACTGAGGAAAATGTTAATCTGAGTCGTGATAACCAGCATTTGGACCAAGACTTGAATTCAGAGCCTCCTGAACATCAAGTAAAAGCGTCCATCATGAGCTGCAACATTCCGTAAAATGCGGTGGCAGCGTGTGTTACTGTTTCACCTGAGGTTCACAGAGTTTAATTTACTGAAGTTTTGTGAACAGAAGAAATTTACAGCATCTAATGGGAGGATCACTGCCAATGATGAAATGAAAGGAGAGTTGCCATGGCCGATTTTAAGAATACTATGCCAGAAATTTCTTTGAAGGGCTTAGAAGAACGCTCAGTAAAGAGACTAATTAACTAACTAACTAGATGGCTTAGGGAACCCAAAGGTTTATTACCGAATTAACCAAAGCCCTCCACCGGACCCTGTCCTGGGGCAACAAAATCCAGTCTCCTTCAACTCCACAATATTGGGGGAGGAGTACAGATTTTTAAGCTCGTCATTATGCAGTTTTCTCCATGCCCCATCGTCTTCTCTCCTAGGCCCAAATATTCTCCTCAACACCCGATTCTCAAACACCTGCAATCTGTGTTCCTCCCTCTGAGTGAAAGACCATGTTTCGCACCCATACAAAACAACAGTAAAGATATACAGCTTCTAAATTTAAAAGAAAGAAAGAGGCAACAATGAAGATGGCTGTCTTCTGGGTTGTTGCGCCGTGTAGTCTGGTAGAAGTTTGCCAACATTTCAGAGGTCTTTGCTGTCCCCATCAGCTTACTCATCACCCCGATGATGGAGTCAGCAAGGACCTCTGAAATGTTGGCAAACTTCTACCAGACTACATGGCGCAACAACCCAGAATACATCCATCTTCAGACTCGCCGCTGTGAAAACTTCAAACCCTGCAGAGGCAGCAATGATGATGATGATGATGATGATGATGATGATGAAGATGTGAGCTCAGAGGCCATGTTTGGTGGGTCCCTGGCACGACAACATGGCACGTATTCAGGTTGCAGATGGAGGAACAGCCTCCAGTTATGGAGGGTAGCTGTGAATATATTAAATAAGCAGTCGCGGACAGACGACGGAGGGTGGTTCTCCAGCTTGGGGGCTGGGTATGTGAGCTTTTTGTTTATTACACTGGCTAAACTTCTGACGAAAATCAATATAAAAGTGTTAAAAAACATTTTAAAGTGACTGACCAATTCCTGCAGCAGAACATTTTAATTCATTTAAACTTCCGGTTTTATAAAAAAAAATTTAATGCAGCAAATTCTTACTTTGCCTTTCTTTCACATCACTTACGGTATTATGACGCAGTGACGGATGCGATGGGCAAGGCAATGACTGAAAGATACAGACTGAACATAATACTTGAGATCGAAACATAAATCTTGAATCAATTTCTGGGACACATACTGTGAAAATATAAACTAAAACATGATACAGAGGAGCTGACAACTCTCAATGACGACCCTGGAACCCAGAGATAATCATTGACAGGTAAAGTCTAAACATCCTGGAGTCACGGCAGGAAACACAGTTTCAGGTGGAGAGCGGAGGATAGGACAAGGGGTTGAACCCATAAAATGCTAACCTGAATATGGGGTTCAGTGTGCAGCTCACTGAAAAGGGGTACAGTAATTGTACATGAGGTCCCCACTGATGCAAGACCCAAGTACTGACACCATATTAAGTGAACGGGCAAAGAACCTGCAGTGAGAGTTCTTATGCAAAGCGCTCATGCTTACAATGAGGTGGTACCTGTGGCATGCCACACCAATGTACTTACCGATCTTATCACCTGCCTTTACACCAGAGTCAGCATTAGGCCCCATGGGTTGTTGTTCGTTTTGGAAGAGGGGCGAGAGACGCGGAGGGACAACTTACGGCATGTAAGTATATCAAGAGAATTAGAGAGTCAAAGTCATCAATCTGTGAGCGACGCCAATTATTGCAAGGTGGAACGATTATAACACAAGGGTTACAGCAATGTTGACATTAAATGTGTTACCACTAAAACCTAACCAACACAAATGTTTAGGCAAACATCTTCAGGCACGCCAACCTCTCACTGTGAGTCATCCGCATTTTCTGGACATATCGTCGGTCGATTATGAGATTCTAGATGGTACTTCTAGGTAACAAGCACATTTCATCATGTGTCACAACTTTCAAAAGCATCATAATTCCCAGCTCTGAATTTTAAAGCTCAAATAACGCAGTATTATTTATTTTAAAATTATGATCATGTGGCTACTGCTCTTTAATCAGAACAAAATTATCAGACGAAAAAAGACAAGGATGGTTAGTTAGATAGCACATCCAAGTATGTGAAGACTCAACTTCTTACTCCCTGGTCGAGTTGAAGGTCTGTAGATTTTAACCGAATTTTTATAATAACATTAGAACATATTACTAATTTAAATGATGTTAAAAAATAGCATTTATAGGTTTGCCATCTCCCTGTTGCTTCTTGCAGTTCATTTTAACCATTCATCAAATCTGGACAAAATGCCCTCAACAAAAGTTAGTACCCACGCAAAAAATTAAAAAGAACAAAAGTTTCATTCTACAGTTATAATTAATGATGAGGTACACAATTTTTTTGCGTATTACTTTTTTAATATAACCTATTTCTGCCCCCCCCTTTTTTTCAGAAACTTAAGTAAGATATTAATTTTAATTTTTTGGGACAAGCAAAGATGACTGTGTCGCTGCTATCCATTCAGATCCATTTGTCATCCATCTTGGGACTAATTTCACTGACATAAAGCGAAAACCGGTGATCAAGGCTGGTCACAAAATCAAGTCATCGGGACGTTGGCATAAAAATTCACATCATCTGGTAGTCTGCAAGTTAAGTACAAATTATCTGGTCTCCAGCGCATGGTAGTTCATGACTTGTTTATGAATATCATCAACAAATATGTTGAAAACAATTATTATTATCATCTACAGATTCAGTTATCACTTCAAGTCATTTGTCACAAAACTTTCATTGTGCCACTTGTAGTCTATTTGTCTTATTGACTCAGTCTTCAAAACGAAGAGCTTACATGTTCTAGAAACAGATCGTGTTTCAGAGTAATTTGACAGTCCGTAACTGTCCATTTTTGCAAAAGGGTTGGGTACAATTCAGAGCCAAATATGAAAAAAGGTCACATCTACAATAATTCCTTGCAAGCACTTTCTAAATTATATTTTTAAATGAGTCCCCCCCCTCCACCTGATAAGAGACAGGACAATCATCTATATTTAGTATATGTCAGTGAAAAGAAATATTATGTAAGCTGATGAAAATCAAGTCATTGACATAAACCTTATAAAAATGTACCTCAGAATCTTCGCGCTGCAGTTGGATTTAAACTGGAAACTGTGATTATAAGCTGAATCAGAAGTTTTACATTTCATCTTCTCAAATATTATCATGACTCTAGTTCTAGAGTTAGTCACACAGTTTATTTAGTCTGCATATCATTATATTTCCTTCTTTAATAATGCACTAAGGTTTTAACATACATTCAACAGCCTTAGGCCATTATTTATTGAAAACAAAAACACATTCATTTGGCAATAGAACTGCCAAAAACAAATTTCCTCTACTAAACCAGGTGTTCACATTTGTTGAAATATTCTGACAAAAAACTAAAATATATGCACAAAATAAATAATTCATGTTATTATATCAAAACAGAGGAATGTAGCATTTGAAGTTTGGAAGTCATGTATATAAAAATTCCGTGAGTGTGATGAAAAAAGAGATTTTTTTTTGAGGTTGGTTTTGTCTTCATCTTCAGGTACATCTCATCTGACCAAGGATTCCAGATTTCATAAGAGGGCATTTTGTAGATGTTTACATTGTATGAACACTCAACAGGTCAGCAGAAAATGCAAGACGGAAGCTGCACGTACAGTTCTGTGCAGCTGTGTAGCTTACGCTGCTAGACAATGAGACAGTGTCCAAAATTTGCCACTGATGCTCCTTGGTCAGACAGGATACAAAATTAAAAAGTCACGGATATCTTTCTTAAAGGCAATGGACAATGTTCAAAAGAATTACTTCCATCACAACACCAAACCAAAGTCACAAGCCTCTAGAACAGAAGCATATTTGTTACCAACAAGGGAGAGCAGATCTCTAATACTCTGATAGTACAATGGATACTTTCTGCAGAGGTTGGCATCTCTGAATTCTCTCTACCCTTATTTTTTATCAACTACCCTGGGGCAATAAATATGTTACATGGGAGCTATTTTAAGTCATTAGAAAAACTACGTCAGATAACGTAAACTGAACTCACCAGCAATGATCACCCGAGCAGTATGGCTGATCTGCCCTTCGCCATTTCTGGCGATACATGTGTAATCGCCGATATCCTCGTGCCGAATGTTAGAGATGCGCAGCTCTGTGCCATCATTAAAAATGCCAATTGTGACTGAAGGCTCCACGGGGTTTGCATCTTTATACCACAAGATTTCGGGTGGTGGCGTGCCTTCAGCTTGGCAATTTAGAATTATGGCATCACCCAAGTTCACGTAGATTACGTCTTCAGGTGTGACACTAAAGCGTGGAGGTGCTGTAATAAACAAAGTATTTAAGGAACAACTGTAAAGAATGATGACTACAAATTCGAATTGCTCACATGCTGCCATCTGCTGTAAAACATGTACAGAATTTGTGTTTCAGTTACACTCACTAAACCCATCATAATCTAACCTCACTTTCACAGCAGCCATACGTAGATGTCTTTGGTAAAATGTGTGAAAACATAACTGAATAAAATATTACATACAAGTAAGTAACTCGTCACCATATCATAAAAATGTATGAAGTTGTTCTCACCTGAAAATAATAAATACACAGCACAAAGTCAGTAAATACAGCATGAAGTTACAAAATCAGAAAAGACATTCCTTCTACAGGAAGAGAATCAGCCTTCTGGACACAAAGATATTACAGACACAGATTTTAATAAAATTAGACATAACTTATATCTCTGGTACTGTACTAAATTTAGCTAAGTCAGCCAAGTGACTTTATTTTAAATTAACCTAACCTAACTTACCAATTTTTCCCTTCTAATTACAGTAAATACACATGCACTAATATAAAAACATATCAAAATATAAACACCATAATGTATTAACATATATACATATATAACTCAATTTTAATCTTAAAATGTGGATAAACTACTTCCTGAATTTAGAAACATAAAAATTACATCACATTCTTTTAAGTGTCACTGTTATGAGAATTGTGAACCTAAAGTTCAGTTCTGCAAGTCTCTACCCATTCATTACAGTATAATTTATTAAAAATGCAGTAGAATGTCTCAAAAATTAATACACAAGTTAATAAGGATAGCATACACATATTAAAGGAAGACATTTAATGTGACATATCCAACAGACAACATTAGCGTCTAAAAGAAATAACTGAGGAATGTGTGATGGCAGACAGAAAGTTCGTGGGCATGGTGAAGCCTGGTTCAAGCCCAATGGCGTCATGTGTACTGCTACCCCTCAAGAATCAAAACATTCTAGGTGCATCATGTCGTTTTTATAGGAAACAGTGTATATAAGCCTTCCAACATAGAGCAAAGGCTTGGACTGAAGTTATTCTCTGGGGTAAATGATGCATTTGCTCCTGATAGAAATATCTCAGTTCTCTCGAAAAGTGGAATCATGTGGTGAAGATGTCAGCATGGTAAAACATCTCCAAATTTTGAAGATGTTACATTTCCAGAAAGAAGAGAAAATGTATTTAAAGCCACTTGAGGACAATCTAACTAACGCACGGCTGCAGAAACTTGTCACTGCAGTCAAGAGACTACCTAGACGATCATGGATAATGAAAATCTACAATAGTGACCCAATGACATAAACCATTTCTTCTCCACATACCAAATATAATGTACGTCTGTAATACCGCATATATATTTTTGTCTTTAATAATGTGTATACGCTTTTTGAGAGAGCAGTAATGAAGCTGACGGCACGTAACAGTTTCTTCAACAAGACTCGTCACGTAAGATATGAGTTTTCACAGCGGTGACTCCGAAGATGGCTGTCTTCTGGGTTATTGCTCTGTGTACTGTGGTAGAAGTTTACATAGGTTTCAGAGGTCCTTGCTGCCTCCATCATCATCATCATGATGGAGGTACAAGGACCTCTGAAGTGTTGGTAAAATTCTATCAGACTACACGATGCAATAACCCAGAAGATATATGATTTGAAGCTTTCGTGGCGACGTAACTCAATAAAATCTTCTCGGGCGATCAGCCATTTCAAATGGTTAAACAATAAAACTGACGTTTCAGGGACTGTCTCTGTCCCCATCATCTGATGATTATTAACCCAGAAGATCTTAAGACTTATGACTTTGCATAAAGGAATATTAAACATTGAATTGTGAGTTATGTCTTCATTAATGAGAACAAAATGCAGCTGTTCCAGTTCAGTTCTTTGAGGTAAGGGTTTCAATGTAAGTGGGAAATTTCTTAAGCAGTTGAGCAACTGGTAACTTCTCAAGAGTCAGCCAGATTATTCCAGAAGATGCTCTCTGCCTCCAACTGTTTCACTTTTAATTCACATTAATAGATGACACTACAGCAACTTGAAGACAGACTCTGACCTGTGGGCACTAGAAACGCCATGCAGTTATTACATGAATGCAACCCACCGACCTTCTTGAAACTGCCTCAGCCATATGGTAATGCAAACATGGTTGCCAGGTCATGCAGAATGCTACTTAAAGAGGTCACAGGTAATTTTAACTTACAGTTATGCAAAAAAAAAAAAAAATAGTATTTAGTGTACATAAACAATGTTAGATATTTTAAGGTAAAAGCCAAGGCCAATTCTATGTGTAAGAATTAAAGATAAGTACAGTGGTTTTATAGTAACATATCAAGTAGCATTTATTTTTAAATCATTAGTGAACGTACGTAAAATACACTACAGTCAGATCAGAGGCAGGTCTGGAATACACTATAGTACACAGGCATGCTTAATACAAACCTCGACATACCAAAGTTTAAACGTAGGTCTACATAAATTTAGGAATGCACCGACATCACTTACCATATCCTAATTGTCCAAACAGAGACCAAGACCATAACAGAATAAAAGTAAACTTCATCCAAGATTTTGTCACAGACAAATTCTGCTTGCTTCGGCACTGGAGAAAAACTGGAATTGTTTCAGTCTGTCTTCAATACAGTCTCTTTGTTGCATATAAAGAACTCTTACTTCATTGCAAAAATTCATAATAATAATAATAATAATAATAAAATAAAGACCAAGTGTTCCTGTACGATGCTGTCTAAACACTCGAGAAGAGGAGACAATTAACCAAGTCTGAGGGCCAAAGGCAGGTGGGAAAGTTTCAGAAAAGAAGTACAAGTTTTTGACAGAATAAAGGAACACCACTTTACATTCGTACCACCCCTGGTCCGACTCACGGATGTTGGTCAGGTTGAGGGAAGCGAGACCATAGGGGGAGTCGAGCGACACTCTGGACACGCGTCCCTCGTACCCCTCACCGCTATGTGTGGGGTATGTGTCGTACCAGATGTATATTGGGATCTCCAAGCCCTACAGAGATCATCACCGGGACCGAACCGTAGTCCCAGGATGAGACATGTGAACACACAGCATAAATAACACAACCATGGCCTGTGTGAGACATCTCCTGATCACTTAGGGTCTTCTTCAGGTTTCACAACTGTTGTGTGTTACAGAACGTTGTTTCTGAGCTTCCAAATTTGGAACTTTATATCACTGCATTGTAAGAAGTATAAAGTACATAAGACAGTCACTTCTGTACATTTCATTTGTAAAGACATTCTGCCTCATCACATGATTTTACATGTACGTCCAGCGAGTAAAAAGAAACTTGTATTGCTTGACTAAGGAAGACATATATCTTAAAGTCA